CTCACCAATTTTGGTCATGTTGTAAGAAGGGACCATTCCCTGGAGAAGGATGTCATGCTTGGTAGGGTGGAGGGTCAACGAAAGAGGGGGAGGCCTTCAAAGAGATGGATTGACAGTGGCTGCGATAATGGGCTCAAGTACAGCAAGGATTGTGGGGCTGGCGCGGGATTGGGCAGTGTTTCGTTCTGCTGTGCATGGGGTCTCTATGAGTCGGAGACGACTCGACGGCACTTAACAACAACAACAACAACCATCGAGTCAGTTTCAACTCATGATGACCTTATGTGTGTCAGAGTAGAACTGTATCCCATAGGGTTTCTTTCTCTCTCTTTTTAATTTGGTATTATCCTCCATTACAGTGTAAGTTCCATAAAGGCACAGAGCCTGTTTGTTTTACCTGTTCCTCTATTACTAACAGATAGCATACCTAGCCCATAAAACCAATTGTCATTGAGTCAGTTCCTTGTGTGTGTCAGAGTAGAATTATGCTCCAGAGGGTTTTCATTGGCTGATTTTTCAGAAGTAGACTGCCAGGCTTTTCTTCTGAGGTGCCTCTAGGTGAACTTGAACCTTTGACCTTTCACTTAGCAGCTGAACACAAAAACTATTTGCATCATCCAGGGACCCATCTAGCACATTACTGTTGTTGTTGTTGTTAGCAGCCATCATTGAGTAATGGAGACACCATGCACAAGGGTTTGATCATTGTGATCCATAGGGTTTACGTTGCCTGATTTTTCAGATGTAGATCACTAGGTCTTTCTTCTTATTCCACTTTAGTCTGGAATCTCCACTGAAATCTGTTTAGCATCATAGCAACACATAAGCCTCCAGTGACAGAAGGGTGGTGGCAGCACTTGAGATGCATTGAGATGCATTGGCATGGAAAGTGAAAAATCTACCAATAAACCACCGCTAACCACATCTAGCACATGTTAAGTTCTCAAATACTTGTTAAATAGATAAAGAACATTATATCTGCACAAAATAGTTAACTATTTTTCAAACAATACTTTATTGTTTCATAAATAGACTTTGTAATTATATCTGTGCTCCTTCTTCTCCTTGATAGTTACATTGTGTAATTGAGAATGATTTGGAGGAGACAACTCACAACTTGGGGAAAGAAGGTCAGAGGGTTTGACTTGCCCATTTCTGTTTTTCTCCTCCCCTTTGGCTTCCCTGAACCTACTTCAATATTCCTTTTTCTTGTTTTTTTTTTTTTATTATTAATTTTGTTATTGATAGAATATGCACAGCAAAACATACACCAATTCAGCAATTTCTGCATGTGCCATTTAATGACATTGATTACATTCTTCGAGTTGTACAACCATTCTCACACTTTTTTTCTGAGTTGTTCCTCCACCACC